AACAGCCGAACTGCAGAACTGCAGTCAGCTGAAGTAGCCTGCAGTGCTGCACCCTAACCACCGCGCCACCTCGAAGGATGGAATATTGGAGAAAGGAGAAAGGAAGGAAGGAAGGAGAAAAGGAGGGAGGAGAGGGAAGAGGAGCAAAAGGAAAGAGAAGGAGGAACCCACTGAGACCCCCTCTGCCCCCCTCCCTCCCTCCCCTGCAGTCCCAGGCCATTGAGCTGAACCCCCTCTACGTGATGCTGCCCTGCACCCTCGCGGCCTCCCTGGCCTTCATGCTGCCGGTGGCCACCCCGCCCAACGCCATCGTCTTCTCCTACGGCAACCTCCGCGTCATCGACATGGTGAGCGCCGCCCCTCGGGTGGGAGGGAGGGGGCTGAAACGTGGGCTCCTTTCCTGGCCCTGCAGAAGCAGAGCCCACCCTCCATCCTCAGCAGGGCAGGAGAGCCAGAAAGGGGCCCAGTCGCTTCCTTCCCCATGGCTGAAACAATGCGGAGCCTCCAGCGACCGGCAGCTTCTCTCTGAACCCCTCGATGCCAAAACTTCCACAGGGGAGAGAACCTTTCCTGCCCAGCTTCTGGGCTGGAGCAGCTGCCTCCTTTCCTTCCCAAAACAGCCTGGGGTAGACTGTCCTTGGATACGGAGGCTCTACACCCCTTCTCCTCCTCGATTCCGAAGTTGCTCTTTCTTGTCCCCCCCCCCCAGGTCAAAGCCGGGTTCATGCTGAACATCCTGGGCGTCCTGACCATCATGCTGGCCATCAACACCTGGGGGATACCCATGTTCAACCTGGACCAGTTTCCAGCCTGGGCACACGCCAACGCCACCCAATGCTGACGGGAGGAAGAGGGTCACAGCTTGCCTGGCCCTGAGCTGGTTTCTTGGGCATCCCGTTGCCTCGCCTCTGGGGGCACGACGTAGCTCAGGCTGGCCCAGCCCTTGAGGATGGGCATTGAGACTCTGAGCACCTTTGGGCACCAGCCTCCCTTGCGCTGAAGGATGCCCGGCCTGCCGCGTGCCAGCGAGCGAGAATTTATTTCCTGCCTAAACAGCACGCGGTCAGCAACCCTGGAGGCGGCCTGGTGCAAGGCTTGGGGGGGCTGCCAATGTGCCCGCTTGTGGAGCAGCTTCTGCAGGGCATCCCTGTGCCAGCCACAGTCATTCTCAAAGTTCCCCCCTCCAGGCCAGGCCTCCAACATCTGGATGCAGCTGCATGCCCAGACCCCGGCTTGGCGTTCCCCTCTCAGCTGGGCTGCAGAGTCTCAGGCCAGGGCCGGCCCCTGGGCTCCCTCCAGACACAAGGAGACCGGTACAGCTTGCCCGGCCTGGTCAAATATACCGGTTTCCAGCCACTCCTTCCTGGGCAGATGCCACTTTGTGGGAATTTGAAACTCCCTCTTTTCGGTTGTAGCTTTGGTCACTAAACGAACAGTTATAAGTCAAGGACTGCTGTAGCCCGGGGGGGTGTGTCACAAAAGGGCCTTTTCCTTCCCCCGGCTCAGCAGGAGGGAGGTGGCCTCTCAACTCCGGCGGTCCTTGGATGAAACCGATTATCTGGACTCCTTTCAGTCGGGATTCAGGCCTGGCTACAGCACGGAAACTGCTTTGGTCACGCTGATTGATGATCTCTGGAGAGCCAGGGATGGGGGTCATTCCTCTATCATGGTGCTCCTTGACCTCTCAGCAGCCTTCAATACCATCGACCATGGTATTCTTCTGCAATGGTTGCGGGAGGTGGGGGTGGGAGGCACCGTTCTTCGGTGCCTCTCCTCCTACCT